CTATTCATGTAGGAATAGACCCCATCTTTTTATTCTTAATAGCAACGATACATGCGTGCCTTGCTACCCCTTCTGTCACTGGGAAAGGACACTGCAAGATCGAACCCATTACAAAGCACCTTTTCATATTGCAAGATAAATAGATCAAGTTGGACAAACAAAATCCAAATATCGGAGAAGAAATACGAGGCTATAATAATCAAGAATGGATATTAAATCAAGGCAAATCTGATCATAAACTCACAATTTATCGGATCCCAACAAACACGTCGCAAAGAGTCATTACATCAAATAGATCTCCAAAAGACCATTGTATTGACATACAAAGAGAAAAGAAGCCATCTAGCTACTGCCTATGGACCCGTAGGTCTGAGTGAAAATACTCACGCATCACCGGAGAGGCACCAATGAGGATGATGAACCCCTCCGTGATCGTGTTCCCCTCCGGCGGAGTGCCGGAAAAGGGCTATAGATTGGATCTCGTGGCTCTGGAAGTTGCAGCGGCTGGAACAAGATTTCGTCGACTCCCCTACGGTTTTCTGAGTATGAGTGTATTTATAGAGCGAAGAGGTGGTGCGGGAGGCCATCGAGGTGGGCACAACCGGGTGGGTTGTGCCCCCCTCGGGGCACCCCCAGGTGCTTCTCTGGCCCAACTGGTGTCTTCTGGTAAAAAAATTCACAAAAAGTATCGCTGCATTTGGACTCCGTCTGATATTGATTTTATGCGATGTAGAAAACAAGCAAAAAACAACTAGCACTTGGCACTATGTCAATAGGTTAGTCTCAAAAATGATATAAAATGATTGTAAAACATCCATGAATGATAATATAACAACATGGAACAATAAAAAATTATAGCCACGTTGGAGACGTATCACGGTGTTTCCATGCCATTCCAAGTAAATTTGTATGTGCCAACTCTAATTTTCAAAATAAACTTCTCTTTTGTGTGCCCCTACCGCTAATGAAGCGGTGAGGGGTGGCTAATATTTTCCATGCTAAATAGGTTATTCTCAAGATGAGTGTTTATTCACTTGTCATTGCATGAAAGTGTGGCGGTAATAGGGATACCTAGTCCCAAAATTCAAAGAAATTACTTTATGTTGTCAAATAATAAATTTCTTTGTAGTGTTGGTATGGAAGGCACCCGTGGATACGGCTAGCCATGGATTGTAAAGAATGGTGAAAAATGAATAAACTTTATTTTTATGTTTGGGAACCGCCTTAGATTTATTTAGCATGGAAGATATTGGGAACTCTGAGTCGTTTCCATTGACAGGAAAAGCATGCCACCCAAAATATTTTTGTCTCTCAATTTAAACTTTGAGCTCTGGCACCTGTACAAATCTCTGCTTCACTCTGCGAAGGGCCTATCTATTTACTTTATGCAAAAAATTTTATTGAGTCTCCATCCTCTTTTGTAAAGCACCAACTACGGAACACTATTATCATACTTGAGCATTGGATGTAGCTAATACTTGAGTGTGTTTCATGAATGTATCAATGATTGAGCATGATGGGCTAGGGATAACTTTTTTTAGTGTTGATATTTTGAGGAACATGGTTGCTTGTTCATGTGCTTGAGTATTAAAGTTTTCATGTCAAACTATAGACTATTGTCTTGAATTGTCTAAAAGTCCGTATGTCCATGCTACAAACAAAAAGAATATGATGGACATGTTAGGCAGCATTCCACATCAAAAATTTTGTTTTTATTATTTGCGCGCTCGAGGACGAGTAGGAATTAAGTTTGGGGATGCTGATACGTCTACAATGTATCTATAATTTTTTATTGTTCCATGTTGTTATACTATCATACTTGGATGTTTTACAATCATTTCCTGCGGGGAGGAGGCCCCTGGCCTGGAGCTTGCCTGGATCTGCAGAGAGGAGGCCAGCAACGAGATGTGGCATGGGATCGTGAGCTCCCCTAGAGTTCCAGAGAGGAGGCCGGCATACCACGCGAGGTGGTAGGGGATCCTGAAGGACGAGGGGATCACCAGGCCTGGAATTGATAGCTTTTGAAATGGAAAGGGTGTAAGTGAAAAATTGTTTTTAGTTCAAATTTCGTGTCCCTTACAACAGGTATTTCGGTACGGAGGGGGTATATTGGATAGTGCCTCCTTTCATAAAACATGTCGCTTAAATGAATGTATGTAGCGATAGGTTTTTTGAAATGGAGGGACTACTTTGTAAAAAATTGTCGCGTCAATCGAGTTTAGATCTGAGCTCGCTCGCTCGTGTATCGATCTTTGGCATCCTTGAAGACGACAGTAGTAGGTATCACGTGAAAATTACTACTCCCTCCGTCCCATAATATAAAAACATTTTTGACACTATACTAATGTAAAAGATGTTTTTATATTATGGGACGGAGGGAGTAGCTTTTAGCCTTTTCCTCCCATGTAGGAATAATCTCACGTTCTCACCACGACGCCACCAACCTACTGTTTAATCATCTCCCGAGCTCGGCTTTGCGCAGGCCAGTTGTACTGTACTTACAATTTTAAAACTGCCCCTGAAGGAAAGTTAGTGATGCTATCCATAACGCTTGATGTTAAAAAAAGTGAAAAGCCCATGTCCTCTACGTACATTACCGTTGAAAATAGCATAGCTAACGTTAATTGTCACTGTTTTCGACCGTGTCATCACGTGGTCGATGCATATTAGGTTCGGACGTTGGAGGCCGTTTTTTTAAATATGTTTTAAGTGTTAGATACAGCCGTATCCAGATAAATCTAAGACAAGCCTTTTGAGACAAATGTAATATTATATATGTCAACTAGGCAATTTTGATGAGGTGATATAAAATTAAATAAAAAAAGGGCTAGGTATCTTACATAAATTTTAGTATGCTACTATTTGTTATGCATGACAATAAATGAGATCATCAACTAAGATACTAATTTATAATGATATGCACTATGAAGATAGTATCATACAATATTATCATATGCATGATACTATATTGAATAGTATCTTAGATGACATTATTTATTGCCATGCAAGACATATATTAGTATGATTTTTATTATAATACGGTATCATGATATGATACTCAACTCTATTTATCTTCATTAAATTTCATACGACCTTATCAATATTGTCTAGTTGGTATGCATGATATTAGTTATGTCTTATGATATTTTCATTATGGGCAGCCTTATGATACTCCCCATTACGAATAGCCTCATGAAACACCATAGCTGGCAATAATGCACGAATCTTATAGCACTTTAATCAGGCACTTGAAGTGTTAGATATGACATAACTTTTTTTATCTAGATGAGAATTAGCAAATATGTAGATTTTAATGTCTTGCATGCATACAAAAGTCTTGAATTGGTATCTTCGCAAAAAAAAAGTCTAGAATTGGTACACGCTCGACCCCTGTGTCGCTCAGGAAGTGCCCCATTCCTAGCTATCCCACCAGGGGTTGTTACCTCCTCCCCCTTCCTCCGTCGCCACCTTGGGATGCCACCGGGCTAATCCCAGGGGCCGACAATGGTGGTGGGTGTCTGCCTCTCTCTTGCGACATGGGGGCGGTGCGGGGCTCCTTGGCATGTGGAGGCGCGATGATTCAGGACTAGGCACGGCATGCGCACTTTAGATGGAAGTCAGCGGCATGGAGGGCCTACTGGACGGCCCAGCTATATGCGTGTTGCCGCCTTCGGTCAGATCTGAGCTGGCCGGTGTGGCCTCCTTGCTACGCAGCGGCGGAGACCGATGGCGGTCCAATGCATACGATGTTGGCTGGAGCTTCGTTGAGCAGATCCAGGTTAAAACCATGCTCTCGGCTAGTTTTCAAAGCCGGCGATGGCAGCACTTCTCTGTGTCATCTCCTTCTTGAAGGCATTGC